AGGACCCCCCCCCCCAAAAAGTGTCAGTGCAGGAGCATCAGGCACCCCATGGAGGTGGGGGGGGGCATGGGACAGCACCAGGAGGGGGCCCAAAGCCCCCTCCCCAGCCCCTTGGCATCACTAAAAGCACAAGAAGCCTATAAAATCCAGTTATTTTTAAATTTTGATTCTGCCCTGAGGTGGCAGAGCTCGGCCTCACCTCTCCCTGCTTCTTTTCACCCCAAATATTTAAAAGCCATAAATATTTCACACCAAATATTTCGGGAGTCCATCCCGGCTCCCCTTCGGCACAGGATTTAGGGCATCGTTCCTCAGATCTCGCATCGGGAGCTGCCTCCTGCCAAGGTAATTCCCTTATCACCCATTTCCACGGGGCAGCAGCAGCCAGAGCCACCGCCACGGCCGGCCCTGTCCCCAAACACAGCCTGGAGCGGTGGCACTGGTGACACTGGTGTCACTGGCCAGCGGGAGGAGACACCAGGGCTGCGGCTCCGCAGGGGTTAAAGCCACCTGCAGCACAAGAAAAGGTCCCTAAAAATGTAAAGTGGCATTGTTCATTTATTTCTTTCCTTCCCATGATGAAAATACTGCTTTTTAAAAAATAAATAAATAAAAAAAAAAAATCAATAATTCCACCAACAAAACGCTCGATACTTTCTCCTCCTCCAAAAGCCAGCACCAAAACGAACTGAAAATACCCTAAAATCTTTCTGGACTGGCCTCATTCTCCATCTCCCACTTCATTTAAGAGGCAAAACCATACCCATGAGCACACCCCCACCCCTAAATCTGGGGTCACCCCCCTGGTTTGCCTTGGGGGGGGGGACAACACTGTGGCCCCCGGAGCTTTTCCCCAAAAAGGGCAGTATCTTCACCCTTTGCTGGGGAGCAGATGGGGGTACGAGGGGTTTTGGGGTTACCAAGTCATGGGGTTTCCTTTTTGGAGGGGCTGGGATGGTGGGACCCCATGGTCCAACGGGGCAAAAACAGCCTGAAAAAAAATCACACCCCCCAAAAAAATCCCACTGAGCTTCCAAAAATCATCTCCCCCCTGGGTGGGCTTGGGGCAGGAGGTGACAACGAGGTGACAGCAGGGAACTGCCACCCCCCACATCGTGGCCAGTGCTGGTGGGGATGGATCTGGCCACCACGGCCCCCCCCCGGCGTGGGGGTTTTGCAGGGTCTTTCCCAGGCAGGAGGGGGATGTGACAGGAAGGGATCATCAGCCACGGTGGCCTTGGGACAAGGTGGGTTCAGCACCTCCTGGCCAAGGGGAGTGGTGGGGTCCATGGGGGTCAAGGGCTCTGCTACAGCCACTTGTGGAGTGGGTGAGAAGCAGCTGGAGGAGGGGGGGGGTTCACCCTTTTCACCCCCAGGAGATGGTGGGGTCAAGAGAGAGACCACCAGCTGTGGTGGACAACTGACCTCTCTGGGCTGGAAGGAGCCAGGGAAGGGAAGCCACCTCTCCCTGTCACCTAAAGGTGACAACCATGGAGCTCCCTGGGAACTGCTCTCCCCACAGCCACCCCACAGCTCCCACAGCCACCCCACAGCTCCCACAGCCTCCATCAAGCCCCTTCCCCAAATCCCCCCCGTGTTCCACGAGGACAGGCTTTAAACCAACCATGATTTAAGAATAAAACCCAAGAAAAGACAAATCTCTCCCCGACCCACAGGTGGGAGCTCATTGCCACGCTCTTCTCCAGCATAAATCACCCCGGGGGGGGGGGGCCCACCTTGTCCCCCCCCAGGATGGAGACCTCGGAGAAGGTTTCTCCCTTCCCAGCATCACCCATTTCCACGTGAAAACCAGGGAGGGGAAGTGTCTGCTCATCCCGGTCCCACCTCACACACACACAAGTGTGCACACACACACACACACACACAAAATTATTCAATTATTTTCCTTTT